GGTCATTTCCTGTTGTCTCTCCTCCTTCCTTCCTTAGCCTGATTACCTGGTCCTTGACTGTTGTTTTCCTCCTGATGTGGCTGTACAACAGTTTCGGGTCAGATTTGGCTTTCGCTGCTATGTCATTTTCATATTGTCTTTGGGCCTCCCTTCTTATCTGTGCATATTCATTTCTGGCTCTACGACTGTTCTCCTTATTCTCCTGGGTCCTTTGTGTGTATATATGCATGTACATTCATGTGTAGTGTGACCTAAGTGTAAGTAGAAGTAGCAAGATATACCTGTTATCCTGTATGTTTGTGAGACAGAAAAAAGACACCTGCAATCCTACCATCGTGTAAAACAATAACAGGTTTCTGTTTCACACTTGCTTGGTAGGATGGTAGTACCTCCCTGGGTGATCGCTGTCTATCAACCTACTACCTAGGTAAATTACTAAATGTATATCTCCAATATAATAAAAACTAAGTATTCTCATTCTTATATACAGTAGTCCCTCAATAATCGTAAGGCTCGATAGTCGTAATTTTTTAAAATCGTAACGTTATTTTCGTCAAAACTTTGGCTCGCTAATCGTAGTTTGACTCGCGAATAGTCGTTCGTCTGGGACGCTTACTCACGGCTCTGAGCCGTTCCCAGCCAGTGTGCCATTGTGTACCAGTGAGCGACGGTCCCCTCACTTGCTCATACGAAATACTGTATTTCATAATATTCCATTCATTTTAGTGCTTGTAACTACTAAATAAGCTACCATGGCTCCAAAGAAAGCTCCTAGTGCCAAGCCTTTGGTAAAGAAGGTGAGAAATACGATTGAATTTAAGAAAAACATCATGGAACAATATGAAAGTGGTGTACGTGTGGCCGAACTGGCCAGGATGTATAACAAACCCCATACAACCATAGCTTCCATCGTGGCCAAGAAAAAGGAAATCAAGGAAGCTGTTGTTGCAAAGGGGGTAAATATGCTGACAAAAATGAGATCACCTGTACTCGAAGATGTTGAGAAGTTATTATTGGTGTGGATAAACGAGAAACAATTAGCAGGAGATAGTCTTATGACGTCGGTTATTTGTGAAAAGGCTACGCAGTTGCACGACGATCTGGTAAAGAAATTGCCTGCAACTAGTGGTGATGTGAGTGAATTTAAGGCCAGCAAAGGTTGGCTGGCTTAAGAGATTTAAGAACCGTAATGGCATACACAGTGTGGTAAGGCATGGTTAGGCTGCCAGTTCAGACAAAATTGCAGCCAAAGTCTTGGCCCATTTTAGGGAAGTGTTAAAGAGACGCCAGAAACATTGCTCTCTGGACAGTTTTTTTGCGAAGACAGGACTCCAGTGACTCTCAAGCTGGTCCTAGTGGCATTAAGAAACAGAGAAGAGAAGTAACCCCAGAAAAGCACTTGGTACCTGAGATGTTGATGGAAGGGGATTCCCCTTCCAAAGAGTAACTAATGCAATCTGTCTCCTCCTCCAGTCTTCCATACACTAAGAAGAATTGCTAATAAAGGTAAGTGTTATGCTGTTAATGTTTCATTCATCATGTCCCATTGTATTGTTTATGTACTACATCTATATTTCATGTAAAAATTTTTTTTGTTTTAATACTTCTGGGTGTTAGGAACGGATTAATTGTATTTACATTATTTCTTATGGGGAAAATTGATTCAAAAATTGTCAATTTTGATAATAGTCACACTTCAAGGAACGGATTAATTATGAAAAACGAGGGACCACTGTACTAGTAATCGTAATTTAGTTTTAAGGCTGCCCAAAATGCCTTGTATAATAAGGGGCTTTTTATAAAATAGTTAATACTATATGTCAGTTACCCTAATTGTGTAATACGTATACTGTACAGTGAAACCTCAGTTTTCATATGCCCCAGTTTTTGTAGGATTCGGTTTTCGATGACTTTTTTTGTTTAAATTTTCTTACAGTTTTTGTAAATCCGCCCAGTTTTCGTAGAGTTGAAAATGGTTCATACCAAATTCGTCCTCCTGCCCACGTGACTCGGCCACTCATTTCCCAGAATCAAGCACTCACACAAAGCATCCCATTCATTTGTGACTCAGTCTGCCTTTGTTTCTCGTTGAGTGAGCATCCTGCGCGTTCATCCGAAATATTTCGTAATAATCCATTGTTTTTGTGCTTGTTTATTGAGTGTGGCTGCTAAATAAGCCACCATTGGGCCAAAGAAAGTTTTGAGTGCCAGCCCTTTGATAAAGAAGGCAAGAAGCACGATAGAATTGAAGAAAGAACTCATAGCAAAGTACAAAAGTGATGTACACATGTTTATATGCTATGTAACGTGTTTCTTTTATAATTTTGAAGAAAATGTCATAGATGGATTAATGAAAATGTCTATACTGTATTAATGTAAAATAAGACATTTAATGTGCTCCAGAGTGATTATTACTAGTATTATGTAATGCTTTCCCTCCACCTGGCAACCACACCTCCATAGTGTATAAACATAGCGTGTTTATATGTCAGGCAGAGGGAAAACGTTGCATTTTCTCTGGTCCAGCACCAAAGAAAACATGTATGAATCTACATTTGGCCTAGTCACTCCCACTTTTGTTTACAATTCTCGGCATGAATTATTCATTACTTCTCCCTTCGTTTATGATGGCACCTAAAGATAGTTGTTAGAAACAATTAAATCCAGTGAACAAGGTATGTTGATGGTAATAATATGGCTCTGGGCTACAGTGTAGGTAGCCAGTAGATGTAGCCCACTGGGCTACACCTACTGGCTACCTACACTGACTTCCTACAAATAAATACTACTCGCCTCTCATCCAACATTAAGATGGATTAATTGGATTTACATTTTTCTTAAGGGAAATATTGCTTCAGTTTTCATCAGACTTTTTCAAACAGATTAATCATGAAAACCGAGGTTCCACTGTACTCCACTTTTTTTTTATTATTAACACATCGGCTTTCTCTCACCAAGGCAGGGTGGCCCGAAAAAGAAAAACTTTCATCATCATTCATTTCATCACTGTATTGCCAGAGGCGTGCTTACACTGCAGTTATAAAACTGCAACATGACCACCCTTCCTTCAGAGTGGACACTGTATTTCCCATCCCCAGAACTCAGGTCCGGCCTGCCGGTTTCCCTGAATCCCTTCATAAATGTTACCTTGCTCTCACTCCAACAGCACGTGAAGCCCTAAAAACCATTTGTCTCCATTCGCTTCTGTCTAAAATGCTCACGCATGCTTGCTGGAAGTCAAAGCCCCTCAGACACGAAACCTCCTTTACCCCCTCCCTCCAACCTTTACTAGGCTGACCCCTGCTCTACCTTATTGAAATAAATTTTGTTTCTTTTGTTTGTTTATATAAAACCCCACATGGGGAAGGAACTAGGTATTACATGTGGCCCATGTGCAAGGGTTGAAGTCACTCTTGAGTCAGTAGCATCAGGTTTTCCTCTTTCCTTATCTGGGTTCTATATTATTCTTTATTCTTTTATTTCCATTTGTAGGTCTTCTTGGGCATTGCCTGTTCTGGTCCTGTTGCATTTCTCCTATTCTTTGAATGAGTAGTGGCATTTTTTTTATTTTATTTCATATATGTCCTGTATCCTGCTTTCCAGTTACTGTATTATTCTTAGGTTTCATGTAAAACCCCCTTTTTTTTACAGGCTGTGAGCATCAGGTCCATAATACCTTTGATACCTTTACCTTTGATATACTTTTGAAAGAGTTTCGAGAGTTACCCTACTCTTGGAGCCCAGCCATGGGCCAGGCTCGTCTGGTGCATGTCTGGTCAACCAGGCTGTTGCTGCTGGAGGCCCACTGCCCCACATCCATCACAGCCTGGTTGATCTGGTTGATAATGCCACACTGGTAAAAACACAAACATGCATAGAAGTACAGTCAGTAATTAGTAGGATCATCATAATATCATTTACTGATGGCTATTATTTTCCTGTTATGATGTACAGTGGACCCCCGCCTTGCAAACGCATTGCATTACGTTAAATCTGCCACACGAAGCATTTGAACGCAAAAATTTTGCCTCACCTCACGATAAAAAACTCGCCTTACGTGATTCGTCCGGGACGCGTCCCACGTGTGGCCTCAGCACCAGTGTTTACAAGCCAGCCAGTGCGGTCACATCTACGCATACATTCGGTACATTTCACATTATCCCAGTGTTTTTAGTGCTTGTAACTGCAAAATATGTCACCATGGACCCCAAGAAAGCTTCTAGTGCCATCCCTGTGGTAAAAAGGGCAAGAATTAGTATGGAATTGAAAAAAGAGATTAGGGAAATGTGTGCAAAGTGAGTTGAACTGCAAACCTTTATGGATGAAAATCACCCTGACACAGCTACTGCAAGCTGTGTTGGCAACCTGTACAATGACAATGTTATGGCCCATTTTAGGAAAGTCTTAAAGGAACAGGAGGTACAGAGCTCTATGGACAGATTTGTTGTGTGACAGAGGTCCAGTGACTCTCAAGCTGGTCCTAGTGGCATTAAAAGAAGAAGGGCAGTAACCCCAGAAAAGGACTTGCTACCTCAAGTCCTAATGGAAGGGGATTCCCCATCTAAACAATAACTTCCACACTCTCCCCTCCTCCCATCCCATCAATCATCACCAGATCGTCAGTAAAGGTAAGTGTCATGTATTCTATTCTTAGTAGAGTAATAATTGCACATGTCTTCTTCAGTTTGTATGTATTAAAATTAATATTTCATGTGGTAAAAAAAAAAATTTTTCATACTTTGGGGTGTCAGGAACGGATTAATTTGATTTCCATTATTTCTTATGGGGAAAATTAATTCAGCTAACGATAATTTCAGCTGACGATGAGCTCTCAGGAACGGATTAATATTGTAAGGCGGGGGTCCACTGTATTTTTATATTTTGTAAATCATTACTCATTTCAATCTACTTTGTATAAAGATGATCTTAAGTTTAACTCTGTCCTAAATAAAATAAACTCTGATGAGGTAATGGTTTTATAATTGAGTGGCTTTTAACAGGGGCTAAACTACATTGCTGGTTTATTGCTGATAATCACCAAAGAAGAGGAGAGCACCTTTTGGCTTCTGAATACACTGATGGAGGACTTGTTGCCTGAATACTACACACCTGATATGGTTGGTGTTCTTACAGACCTCAAGGTGTTGGAAGCTCTCGTTAAGTGAGTTCTCATTTACATCTTTTATACACAATAATGATTAAAGGGGAGTTCTTCGATGCTGGTGAAGAGCTCTTGATTTCAGGAATTGGAGCTGCTCTTCCCTTCCTTGGATCAAACCTGATTGCCTTCAGTCCCCAGGTGCTGGATGATCCTTATGGGTTTAGCATTTCCCAGTGAATATAATAAAAATATACAGTGTAACTTTAAATTAAATTATGCTGTAATCTATCAAATTCTGTACTTCATATCTCTGGTGATTTGTAGTAAAGTTTTAAAACTAAGTTTATTTTTAGGTTATGGGTACAGTAGTAAATGAAAAAAAATCTAATGATACTTTTGGTAGCTAGCCATTAGTTATATAAATGTAATTACAATGAATGATGATGAAAGTATTTTCTTTTTGGGGATTTTCTTTCTTTTTGGGTCACTCTGCCTCGGTGGGAGACAGCTGACTTGTTGAAAAAAAAAAGTACAAAAAGTATTATGGCTTAGTTAATATTATTGGAAGCTTTTTTTAATGGTCTGGCCATATCCCACCAAGGCAAAGTGAAAAGCTGTTATGAATAATTGTTTTGAATCTTAAAACGTTTATTGTCAATATACAATATTTAAAAATTTGTGACAGCTTGTAATTGCTGCTTGCATTCATGCCACTTATTTTTATATCTATAAGTACTTCCTTCAGGCTGATATTTCTAACCATTTCACTGTCTTCCATGCAGATCTATATCAATGACTCCATTGTCACTCACATAGATCTACATTTTAAGCACAGCTCCATCAAGCATGATGTGAGGAGTAAAGTTTGGCCTAGACATGAGTGAATGGGTCTGTGCAGTGAATGTTCACAGTATAAAAAAAATCCTGTTATGTGCAGTGTGCCATAGGAGAGCAAATCTTTGATCTTGTGTGGTTTATAATGTGTTTGGTTTATAATGGTGACTTTGAGGTGCTTTCTAGGATGGTTCTTATGGGTTTATTGACTGTTTCTTGGTATCATTAAATAGAATTGAAAATATACTAGTGAAACAGAGATGGTTTTGGTCAGTTTCATACTGAAAGTAGCTTGAAATAAGACTCAGTGATGGAAATATTTGATTTTCCTGTGGAAGGGTAGGGCACCCTATGCTCCCCTCAGGTTTTATGGATTTTTATTGGGTCTTCTTCAATTATTTTGATTTATTCTTTGTTGTATTTTAATCTGAGAAGTAGGATAAAACTTCAGTTATTTGTGTGATGCATTCAGAATGGAGGGCAAGTGTTATATAGCATAGGCGCATAGTTTTGGGGATATGATTAATGAACAGAGGAAGGGTTGATTTAGTGGCTGATATGCCTACATTGTTTATTTTGGACTCTGTTTTTCAATTTGAATTTTGTGGAAAATTGGCCATGTTACCAATTTCTATGCACATTATAGGGTAGTTCTAATAGTTGAATGGGAAGTTTCTTCACCTCATTCGATAGAACGGAAGGTATACTACCAAAATAGCTAGAAAGCTAGGAATTTGGTGAAATTGAGCAATAGAACTGACTTAAAATAGGAATCAAGTGGGTGAAATTGCAGATGCATATATTGCATGCAGACTGGCAGCTTTGCACCTGTGCAGTTCCGTAAGTTTTTCATCATATTTTGTATTTTTGGTGTCATTACCTTTGTAAAAATGATTCTCTGGCATTTTAGTTTTTTAGGCTCTTTTTTTGTTTTTGTTTGAATCATGACACTGTCGGTGCTTTTAATTTCAGGGGTCATGACAGTGAGAGAGTTTAATAGTAATGGTTTATAAAACTGACAAGTAGAAGAACAAGACATATGTACAGCACTTGGTTATCTTTATTGTGGAGACATTTTCCCAACCAGTGGCTTTATATGTCCAATGCAGAGAATAATCCTGTAGGTGTTGGAAGACATAAGGAAGTACTTGGAGGTAATCAGTCCCTCAACCTTGCTAGGAAGAGTTCAGTTCATAAGGCTCTTAAGATCATAACTGAATAATGTGGCATAAAATGTGTGTTAGGGAAATAAATATATTTTCCAGATTTGTTCTGTTTTTGTGAGGAGAAAAAAAGACAGATTTATTGTCCATAATATATAACATGGTTTCATTGCCAATTTGTTCTGTATCTATTTTTCATTTCTTGATTGATTAGCAAAACATTGCATAATGACAATATTATTTTTAGCATTTTATGATTAATATGTACATAAAACATGGAGTTTCATCTAATATGTAAATGTGGCATATAATTATTACTTCCTTTATACAGTGCTGTCTTTGAAAAGTAGGTTAGATATACAGGCATACCTTGTTAACATGGTGGTTTCCAGTTAAGTTCATGTATATTATTTTTGGCACTTGCCTTGCTCTTAAGATGGTTTCCGGCAATTTAAAAAAAAATGATTTAGGATTTTTAATTTTAAATCTTTTTTTTATTATTCCTAGTGCTGTGGTGCAAACATGTAGGCTGTATAAATGAATTAGAAAAGTACAGTATTATTAACATTCAATTCACTTGTTCCACCGGAAGTTGTGGACAGCATTTTATGCTGCTGCCTCATCTTGATCAGTTCTCAAGAGCACTTTCTATGTTGCATATGTATTGCTCACTTATCAAAAATATGATAAATTTTGAAGAGACTCCTGAGGAAACTGTAGCCTATATTTTTATGCAAATTTATAAATGCTCATTTATTTTCATTTGAAGTACAATTCCAGTATATTTATATAAGTACCATTATTGTCTTCAATATCCATGTTCTTTTTTTGACACACAGAGAGCATGCTCCATTAATATGGAAGCATGTAAACCATTATGGCTTGACCTGGGGTCTCCTTACAACAAAATGGTTTATCTGCCTATTTGCTGAAGTTCTACCCATTGAGGTAATACATAACTTTAGTCAAAGCATGTTATTCATTTAGTTAGCTAGCAAAATTATACAACCCAATATGGAAAAAGTGAATCTTGTATTTTTTTTTTTTCAACAAGTCGGCCGTCTCACACCGAGGCAGGGTGACCAAAAAAAGAAAGAAAATCCCCAAAAAGAAAATACTTTCATCATCATTCAACACTTTCACCACACTCACACATTATCACTGCTTTTGCAGAGGTGCTCAGAATACAACAGCTTAGAAGCATATACGTATAAAGATACACAATATATCCCTCCAAACTGCCAATATCCCAAACCCCTCCTTTAAAGTGCAGGCATTGTACTTCCCATTTCCAGGACTCAAGTCCGACTATATGAAAATAACCAGTTTCCCTGAATCCCTTCACAAAATATTACCCTGCTCACACTCCAACAGATCATCAGGTCCCAAGTATCATTTGTCTCCATTCACTCCTATCTAACACGCTCATGCACGCTTGCTGGAAGTCCAAGCCCCTCGCCCACAAAACCTCCTTTACCCCCTCTTTCCAACCCTTTCGAGGACGACCCCTACCCCTCTTTCCTTCCCCTATAGATTTATATGCTTTCCATGTCATTCTACTTTGATCCATTCTCTCTAAATGACCAAACCACCTCAACAACCCCTCTTCTGCCCTCTGACTAATGCTTTTATTAACTCTTTTATTAACTTTTATTAACTTGTATGTATAATGTAATTTAGCAGACGTTGATAATAGCATCAGGAACCTGTATTATAAATTTATAGTTTTTGATAAATACTAAATGCCTTGAAGATTTTTTTTTTTTTTTTTCAACAAGTTGGCCGTCTCCCACCGAGGTAGGGTGACCCAAAAAGAAAGAAAATCCCCAAAAAGAAAATACTTTTATCATCACTCAACACTTTCACCTCACTCGCACATAATCACTGTTTTTGCAGAGGTGCCCAGGATACAACAGTTTAGAAGTATTATTTTTTTTTTTATTATCACACTGGCCGATTCCCACCAAGGCAAGGTGGCCCGAAAAAGGAAAACTTTCACCATCATTCACTCCATCACTGTCTTGCCAGAAGGGTGCTTTACACTACAGTTTTTAAACTGCAACATTAACACCCCTCCTTCAGAGTGCAGGCACTGTACTACCCATCTCCAGGACTCAAGTCCGGCCTGCCGGTTTCCCTGAACCCCTTCATAAATGTTACTTTGCTCACACTCCAACAGCACGTCAAGTATTAAAAACCATTTGTCTCCATTCACTCCTATCAAACACGCTCACGCATGCCTGCTGGAAGTCCAAGCCCCTCGCACACAAAACCTCCTTTACCCCCTCCCTCCAACCTTTCCTAGGCCGACCCTTACCCCGCCTTCCTTCCACTACAGACTGATACACTCTTGAAGTCACTCTGTTTCGCTCCATTCTCTCTACATGTCCGAACCACCTCAACAATCCTTCCTCAGCCCTCTGGACAACAGTTTTGGTAATCCCGCACCTCCTAACTTCCAAACTACGAATTCTCTGCATTATATTCACACCACACATTGCCCTCAGACATGACATCTCCACTGCCTCCAGCCTTCTCCTCGCTGCAACATTCATCACCCCATGCTTCACACCCATATAAGAGCATTGGTAAAACTATACTCTCATACATTCCCCTCTTTGCCTCCAAGGACAAAGTTCTTTGTCTCCACAGACTCCTAAGTGCACCACTCACCCTTTTCCCCTCATCAATTCTATGATTCACCTCAACTTTCATAGACCCATCCGCTGACACGTCCACTACCAAATATCTGAATACATTCACCTCCATACTCTCTCCCTCCAATCTGATATCCAATCTTTCATCACCTAATCTTTTTGTTATCCTCATAACCTTACTCTTTCCTGTATGTATTCACTTTTAATTTTCTTCTTTTGCACACCTTACCAAATTCATCCACCAATCTCTGCAACTTCTCTTCAGAATCTCCCAAGAGCACAGTGTCATCAGCAAAGAGCAACTGTGACAACTCCCACTTTATGTGTGATTCTTTATCTTTTAACTCCACGCCTTTTCCCAAGACCCTCGCATTTACTTCTCTTACAACCCCATCTATAAATATATTATATATTAGAAGTATATACGTATAAAAATACACAATGTATCCCTCCAAGCTGCCAATATCCCAAACCCCTCCTTCAGAGTGCAGGCATTGTACTTCCCATTTCCAGGACTCAAGTTCGTTATATAAAATAATCGGTTTCCCTGAATCCCTTCACTAAATATTACCCTGCTCACACTCCAACAGATCGTCAGGTCCCAAATACCATTCGTCTCCATTCACTCCTATCGAACATGCTCACGCACGCCTGCTGGAAGTCCAAGCCCCTTGCCCACAAAACCTCCCTTACCCCTTCCTTCCAACCTTTTCGAGGACAACCCCTACCCCGCCTTCCTTCTCCTACAGATTTAAATGCTCTCCATATCATTCTACTTTGATCCATCTCTCTAAATGACCAAACCACCTCAACAACCCCTCTTCAGCCCTCTGACTAATACTTTTATTAACTCCACACCTTCTCCTAATTTCCACACTCCGAATTTTCTGCATAATATTTACACCACGCATGGCCCTTAGACAGGACACCTCCACTGCCTCCAACTGCCTCCTCGCTGCTGCATTCACAACCCAAGCTTCACACCCATATAAGAGTGTTGGTACTACTATACTTTCATACATTCCCTTCTTTGCCTCCATAGATAATGTTTTTTGTCTCCACATATACCTCAACACACCACTCACCTTTTTTCCCTCATCAATTCTATGATAACCTCATCCTTCATAAATCCATCCACCGACACATCAACTCCCAAGTATCTGAAAACATTCACTTCTTCCATACTCCTCCTCCCCGATTAACTAAAGCATTTGATACCCTCATCACCTTACTCTTGTCTATGTTCACTTTCAACTTCTTACCTTTACACACACTCCCAAACTCATCCACTAACCTTTGCAATTTTTCTTTAGAATCTCCCATAAACACAGTATCATCAGCAAAAAGCAACTGTGTCAATTCCCATTTTATATTTGATTCCCGATAATTTAATCCCACCCCTCTCCCGAACACCCTAACATTTACTTCTTTTACAACCCCGTCTTTAAATACGTATATTAAACAACCATGGTGACATTACACATCCCTTACTAAGACCTACTTTTACCGGGAAGTAGTCTCCCTCTCTTCTACACACCCTAACCTGAGCCTCACTATCCTCATAAAAAATCTTTACAGCATTTAGTAACTTACCACCTATTCCATATACTTGCAACATCTGCCACATTGCTCCCCTATCCACTCTATCATATGCCTTTTCTAAATCCATAAATGCAATAAAAACTTCCCTACCTTTATCTAAATACTGTTCACATATATGCTTCAATGTAAACACTTGATCTACACATCCCCTACCCACTCTGAAGCCTCCTTGCTCATCCGCAATCCTACATTCTGTCTTACCTCTAATTCTTTCAATTATAACCCTGCCATACACTTTTCCTGGTATACTCAGTAAACTTATTCCTCTATAATTTTTACAATCTCTTTTGTCCCCCTTCCCTTTATATAAAGGGACTATACATGCTCTCTGCCAATCCCTAGGTACCTTCCCCTCTTTCATACATTTATTAAACAAAAATACCAACCACTCCAATACTATATCCCCCCTGCTTTTAACATTTCTGTCATGATCCTGTCAGTTCCAGCTGCTTTACCCCCTTTCATTCTATGTAATGCCTCATGCACCTCCCCCACACTCACATCCTGTTCTTCACTCCTAAAAGATGGTATACCTCCCTGGCCAGTGCATGATATTACCGCTTCCCTTTCTACGTCGACATTTAAAAGCTCCTCAAAATATTCTCGCCATCTACCCAAAACCTCCATCTCCCTATCTGCTAACTCCCCTACTCTGTAACTGACAAATCCATTCGTTCTCTAGGCTTTCTTAACTTCTTTAACTTACTCCAAATATTTTTCTTATTTTCATTAAAATTTCTTCACAGTGCCTCTCCCAGTGTATTTGCTCTCCTTTTGCACTCTCTCACCACTCTCTTTACCTTTCTTTTACTCTCCATATACTCTACTCTTCTTATAACACTTCTGCTTTGTAAAAACCTCTCATAAGCTAACTTTTTCTCTTTTATCACACCCTTTACTTCATCATTCCACCAATCACTCCTCTTTCCTCCTGCACCCACCCTCCTATAACCACAAACTTCTGCCCCACATTCTAATACTGCATTTTTTAAACTATTCCAACCCTCTTCAACCCCCCCCCCCCCACTACTCATACTTGCACCAGCCCACCTTTCTGCCAATAGTTGTTTATATCTCACCCAAACTTCCTCCTCTCTTAGTTTATACACTTTCACCTCCCTCTTGTTTGTTGTTGCCATTTTCTTCTTTTCCCATCTGCCTCTTACTCTAACTGTAGCTACAACTAAATACAGGTCCGCCATCACAAATCCGACAATCAGTTATTCGGTTCCTTCAGTTATTCGGCACTAATTTTGGCTAGCATAATTTCAAATTTCCAGGGTCGCCACATCAACCTGCTGGTACTGTTTAGTGGCGCTACTTGCTGCATAAGTCATTCCAATTTCTTTTTCTCCATTTATTGTTTTAACCTGCTTACTTTTAGCCCTAGCCATGGTTCCAATGAATAAAAGAAATGCTTCTCATTATGTAAAGCACCTACACAGTGCATTATCCATTAAAGATAAGGTGGCTTTGAAGCCACTGTCGGTTGCCATGAGCTCAGTCTTATGAAGCAGGAGAACATGCTTTATTATTACTCTAATATCAACACTACAGCTTATTTGCCTATCACAATTGGGATTAAATTTTGGGGAATCAAATTCAAAATGGGAATTGACACAGTTACTTTTTGCTGATGATACTGTGCTTATGGGAGATTCTAAAGAAAAATTGCAAAGGTTAGTGGAT